ATATCACACATTAATTTTGATATTCTCAAGAGGCTGAAGAGGGAAAAATTAATATTTATACAGCATTTTAATATATTAGAATAAATTGGATAAATAAAGGTTCCACTACGTAACCGCTTATTTGCCTTTCAATAGCAGTAATACCAGAAAAAAATTCTAATAAAAATAGAAGATACATTCCTCATATTAATTTTATTTTCAACTCTTCTAATGAAAATTTAAGGATATCTATATTTATCGCAAAGATTAACATAGAGCTTAAAGTTAAAAAAAATGTAATTTACCTTAAAAATATGTCTTAATTAAATTTAAAATAATTGCATTTTACTCTGGCTTGTAGATCTAAATTTCATCTAACAAACATGAGTGAATAAAAGCTGAATGTGGTTTAAAGATGATTTAATTTATTGGCTGTAGCGTAGAATTGGGTGCCCCTTTGACTAGTGGCAAATTTTGTTCAGTTTTGGTGATGAAACCCCATTTTTGGTTACCAGGATAGTTTTAACTTTGTTTCAACTTCATGATTTTTATTTAAGTGAGAATAGATCGATGTGTACATGGACAAAGTTAACCCCTTAAGGCACACATTAATTTCTAATTTTCAGTCAAAAAATCACCTATTTTTTTTTCTTGCATAATCATATTCATGCATAATCATATATATGCATAACAGCCAGGGTTAGCTTCAAATCGAAATCTCGGTGGTGCAACGTTTGGTTGATTTATACTAATTTGATACCAATTCCTTGCTATATCCAAAATCTCGTTGTCATTATCTTCCGATTCACTTCCATCACTCAAGAAATCATCACTCTCATCGTTAAAACTGTCTGATAAATTGGCATATTCAAAATTGTCATCGTTAGAGTCGCTCATTATCAGATAACTTTTTTTTAAATTACAAAAACACTTAGTAATATAATTTGCAGTTAACTGCTTACTTTCATTATATTTACGTAATAAAAATGGATATATTACCTTTTCCACACAAAACGACTACTTTATAGCAAAGAATTCCTAGCAAACTTATAGCTAATCATCAAAATGCGCCACGTGGTTTACACAAGAAAAATGCTGAATAGTGGTGCCATCTATGTCAAATAAGTTTAATTATAATCTAGCCTATTTATTTTTTACTGGAACGGATCTCAGACAAGCAGTAGAAATAAAATAACGCGAGATACAAGGGCGCCCGTGTGAGACACGGGCATGTGCAAATTTGCCGGAAACTTTCGCCCGTGTGAGACACGGGCAAATGCGTTAAGGGGTTAAGGCAGTGCGCAATGTTCAGTCTGTGCAATTTTCTCATTTTTCTGAAGTGAAAATAGATCGATGTGATCGACGAGTTTGTGCAATGACTTATTTTGGTTCTGTGTAGCGGCCATCTGGAAATGGTGCCTTCCTGGTGCCGATCTTGGTGTCAAAAAAGAATTGCTAAAAAAAAAACAAGGGGCACCAATTGTAAACTTTTACCAATTTATCAATCTGAATTACAGAAATGTTCATTTTGTTTATTCTTTTTAAAAGTTTCATAAGTATACATATTATACTTAACAACATGATTATTTCTATAAAGCTAGAATTTTCACTTCTTGTAACAAATTTGCGAGATGTAAAAAAGATATATGGAACACAGTAACTAAATATTTAAAAACTATAAATCATAATATTATTTAGAAACCAAAGGTCATTCCACAATGTATATAGATTTGTTTTTAAAAAGACAGGCAATTTCAACTTTTTTTTTTAGTTCAGAATAGGGATGCACAACTTGTGGACTGCCGAGACCTCTTGAAACATTTGTTGCGATTTGACATAGCAGTTGTCTCTAGAAGGCGTTGCGAGAAAAAAAAAAAAAAAAAAAAATCACCACTCCCCCCTTTTATTACTCATTTTACTCTCTCCCCTTAAAGTGAGATTTGGCACTGAGCCAAGTTCCCGGTGTCAACCAAAGCACATATCCGCTGCCTGAACAGGAAAATTACTCCTAGCCTGTAGGACCAACACCTGTAGAAGAGTCTTTGGTATGATGTAGCATGAGTTTGTTTGCACGTATGCACTAGTAAAGTAAAAGAGAAAAATATTTTCTAGGATCCGAAATGATGCATTCATTTTCTTGCCGTCGTCGTACTTTTGGCTTCGTGACTATACATTGTTTTATCATGTGCGTGTTTATCTTTGTTTTCGAGACCATTAAGAAGTTTCATGTATTATTATTTTAAAAGTGGGATCAACCTATATTTTCTGCAATTTTTGTTCCCTGTGGTTTTGATAGTTGCCATGATGGATGGATGCAAAGCGAAAAGAAAGTTAGCGGACAACAACAGGAAATTTTCGAAGGCCTGGACTTCGAAGCAAAATAATAGAATTATATGCTTGTTATGTAATTTTACGATTAGTGTTTGCAAGGAGTATAACATTAAGTGACACTACGACACGAAACACTGAACATTTTCAAAGCTTGAGGGAAAGGATCGAAAACGTAAAATCGAATCTCTCCGCCATTCTCTTGTTGCTTAAGGGAATGGATTTACAAAGGCATCTTCAGAGTTAGATAACTGTGTTAACTGTGTTGAAGTTAGTTTGAGAATTGCAGCCTTAATTGCTAAAAGTGGCTGCACATTTATTGATGGTAATTTTGCAAAGGAATGCATATTGTTGGCATCTGATAAAGTATGCCCTGAAGCTACGCAGAAATTTAAAAATGTGAGTCTTGGCAGAATGACAATTCAAAGAATTGAAAATTTATCTGATGATGTTACTGAAGAATTACAGAATGCTGCTGCCAAATTTAAGTACTTTTCTCTAGCAGCTGATCAATCAAGATATATTACTTCAACAGCTCGGCCTTCTTTTCTTTGTCAGAGGAATTTCTGAAAATTTTGAAGTAACTGAAGAATTTGTTGGAATGAGTTCAATGAAAGGATGAACAACTGGAACTGATACAGTCAAAAGTCGTTAATTCGGATACCCATAATCCGGACCTCAAAGCTACAAACTTTCCGGGCATGCCTCGCATTGACACACAGGCGTTTACGCGTGCGCGTACACCTTTCGTGCGCAAGACCTTACGCTCAAATATGCGTTGTGCAAGCGCATAATCGTTACGCATGCCGTTAAGGATAACGACATAAAGCGAAGCGAAATGACCTAATCAGTAAGTGCAGATTGCATTGTCCTTAATCTCGAATGGATCCGGCTTATTATTTTTGCAGACTCTAGAGCATTTTATAAAGAAGCGAACTTGCGATTGGCAAAAAGGCTGAGATAGATGTACTAATAGCAAAGGATCTACAAAGCGAAGGAAGTTTCGAATCCATTAACAAAAAGGGAATGCGCAAAAAGGGTAATGCATATCTTTGTATTTGTTTATCTTTAAAACGTCGCGGCGCCAATGATGAAGTGATCGCAGCACTAAGCGATCTCAGGCATGGTTTTATTTATTGCTTTAATCTTACGCATGTAGTTTTTCTCATGTAGTCCGTCTTGATATATCAATAAATCCTCGCATTAGAAGCGCTCTGACGAGAAACGTACAGAGTATGAAAACGAAAAATTTGATGACAATAGTCGTATCTCACCACATTATAGGACTGAACGCAGAACTGGGAACTGACACGAAACTTTCTGTTTTTAGAATACAGAGATGTACCTCACAAAAAACAGCAACTGACACTGACACGACGAAATTTAATAAGTAAACAAAGAAAGATAACGGGGGGGGGGGGAAGGGGGATAGGCGGGATCAACTTTCTTATTCCAATGACGGGGGCAGATTTTAAGTTATAATTCTGCCCCCTACCAGATTAACTGAGAGCTAGATCCGGAAAAATCGATAATCCGGAATCGCCGAAGTTCCGGCGAGTCCGGATTAATGACTTTTGACTGTATTAAATTTGCGCGCATATGCATATTAAAATTATGCAAAATTCAACCTGAGATGGATATTAATTATAAAAATAGTTTGACTTAGGATCAAACTAAACAGGAACTTTTCTTATTTTAAAGTAGATGTACTTAAAATAAAAAGGTTGATGACAGTTTAATGTATCATATTACATAAGACTGAATTTAATAATCAAAAGTGAATATCAATACAAGCATAAGTTAATGGATTTCATAAAATATTATTATTTAAAATACGAAACATCACAGACGTAAAACGGAAAACAGATTAACACCAACCCTACAAAAAAGTACCATCGAGAAATTTTCTTAAAATCTGCCAACATCCTTAATATCTTAAAACTTCTTTTGACAACCTGATTACACTTCTATTTATATATACATATGACGCACTGCCTAAATACTTTTACATTAATTTCTTACAAACTTAATTTTATGCTAAATACAATTGCCAATATTATTAGGCAATCAAGATTTGCATTAACTTTTCATTATTTAATATTCAAGTTTTATGAAATTATGAAAAAAAAGTGGGAAATATGTTTACAAATCTATCACAAAATTTCATTCATTATCGATGAATAAAATGTTAACATTATACTGCACAGGAAAAATAATACGAGACTAGACGTCAGCATTTTACTGTTGGATATTAAGCTAAGAATATCAATACAGTTCTTATAATGTTATTAATGATTAGAGATAATATAAAATGCAGAAAGTATTAAAATTAACTATTTTAAGATACTTTCCCTCATAAAACTAGTTTTAAAACAGACAGAAAAGAAATATTGCTTGACGATCACACTGTGAAATACATTAAAAATATATATATATATATATATATATATATAAGAAAATCAGTATTTGTTATGAATATTATTTGAATCTATCCTTCTTCAAACATAATATATGAATTCAAGAATACAAAAATGTCTTAAATATAAGATCACTGACTGCGCATCTCTCGGATATTTTGCTTGGCTCAAATGACCAACATTATAAAATCCTTATTACGATTCATATGTACATAAAAGGATAAGTATCATATAACCTCTGATCAAAATAAAATTCTTTTCAACACTATCACTCACCTTTTTCTGTTTTCAGTCACCTCAGGCCTTCCTTTAAGTTTGGATTTTGGTCCCTTCGATCGCTTTTTCTTAGCCTGGATGGCCATAACTGAAAATAGAATGCAATTTAATTTATGCACGAAATTAATAATACAATATACAGAATGTTAGCATTTATAAATCTAATTCTTTGTATCACAATACCTTTTCGGTTAACATCGGCGTTCATTTTTTGTTTGTAAAGTATCAGCCAGTATATTGTCAGTAAAGAGTACAGAGAGCAAACTATAGCTATTGCCTACTGCTAAACTTCATTGACCCAAGACGTAGAAACAGCAGTGGTCGTACAGTAACACCGTAAATAACTTAGGGTATCGAAAATGAGTATCAAATATTAATCATCATTAATAATTCTAATTATCCGAATTTAACATTAATTAAAAAATAGTTACATAAATTAATACATAACTAGAAAAGGAATAAAGCTGTTTACCATTTTCAAACATAATAAAATAATAGTTTAAAAAAGTAAAATTTAGTATTTTTCATTTATAAAATTATAAAAATAGACTTTTTTTATGTAGAATAATAAAGGGCCCTAGTATGGACACCGTCGAGATGGAAGAACGGGTCGTTTTTTGCGATCTACTCGATAAGGAGCTAGTCTGGTGTCATCGTCTCGATCATTACAGAAGAGATTGACGCGTCGGAAATATCAGCTGTGTAGCTGCCGTTCTTGGTTTTGAGCTGACCGTTGTTTTTAAAACAGCCCAAAACTAGATTTCCTTGCCCGAAACATCACTGTTGTTCTTACTAACACTACTTGCTTATCGTTCTTAGTTAGAAAATTGATTTCTGTATTCTGTAGAGATAAGGCAGTACAGTCAAAGACCCTTTCACCCGAATTGACATAGTTTAAAGCCGGTTTCCCCAAAAAATCTGGATTTATTCGTTGGCGAAGCATGCTAGGCTTATATGTCTAACGAAGAGATGCCTCCGAGGAGAATCTTGTAAGACAAACTGGTTCAAAGACAAATTGGTTCATGTTACACACATGAAACACAAAGAAATGTCCCATGTAACTATCCAGAATTTGAACTTCGATCAAACTGCCAGTTTTCAAGTATGTTTTGCACATAACCATTCGTAGAACTTAGCTATATTTGCTTCAACTATTTATTTAAGCTTTTAGCTTTACTTTAATGTTGTTCAATGTGTTTTCTTTGTATGTAACTTTGAGTTTCAGTTGTTTTATGACATCTAGTTATAACAACTTGATATGAGGATAAGTTATTATAAACATTCATAACATAGAATTAAGTTACCTTGAAAAAAGAAATGCTAAGCACAATGCGCACCAAGAGTTAAAAAATGATGATGTCACAGAAGTAATGATAATGATGAGAAAAGATATATGATCGTAGAAAAACTGTAAAGTTTCCCTTTTCCCTAACTGTAATTCCAGTAGGTTAGGTTAACCTGAAAAAGGAAAAAACAAAAACAAAAAAAAAAAAAAAAGACATTAAAGATAAAGAAGTGCACAAAATGGGAGGAAATTTGCAAGGTAATACACATAATTAAGATAACCCTAATTAGAATTTTAGAACTAAAATTGACCAATATACCAGAATGAAATGAAAAATACCAGAATATTTTCTGATGAATACTTACATTCATCAGATTATGAATCATTTCTGATAAACACTTATATTCATTACATTCCACTTATATCCAAGCCTATCGAAACAATATTAGAAATGTTATTGACTAATAAATGAAGATCTTAAGGATCAAGGACTTCCTGTGTATCAGTATAGATTTCGAGATGGAGAACAAAGCTTACTTGCAATTTATTTGCTGAAACATTGTAAAATGAGAAAGATAAATAGGTATAACATATAAAGAGAACGCAGCACTTCAGATAGCAGGTAAAAAATTACAGGTCATGAATGCCACCAATGCAGTGTCACAGCCGGAGTGATGGCTTTGTATTCCTTAAAATAGGGGTCCCGCGGTCTTTCTTGTTAGTTAACAAAGGTCTGGTAAAACACTGGTCTGCTCTGTGGTCGGCTACATATTCAACAAATCGAATGACATTTCTCAATAAGCATTAATTTGTTTTTATTTATTTTAAACATAATATTGTGTCTCATTCTGTCTTGTTTAGCTCTAGTTGTTTACAAGAAGAATTAAAATAAATGTCTTTGAAATACCTATTACTTGAACTTTTCTTGTGCTAAAAATTATCTAAAACTGTTTCATAAAAAACATGAAGTAAGTTTTTCGCGAGAATTACAGTAACAACTGAAATTATACC